TGGGGCAGCGGGCTGGGAAGAGAAGGCCGGCCCTGCCCCTGGGCACGCACCTGGTGGGGTGGCCCTCCGGCACATGCTTTTGAACTGCTTCGGCAGCGTCTTGCAGAAGTCAAGTGAGGTAGGCAGAGGCGAGCCCGGGGCGGCGCTGCTGGAGGTGGGGGAGGCTGCGTGGCTGTAGGGACAGGCCTTGAGCCCCGGCGCCACGGCAGGCGCCTGGCTGGTGCACTCTGGAGGGAGAGCGAGGCCGGGGTGCTTGTCGCCTGGAAGGAAAGTGGAGCTAGGGCCGGCTCCCAGCACCCTCTGCCTTTGCAAAGGGACCCAGGCATCCCTTTGGCACTGGCATTCAGAGGCCCAGCCTGCCTACCCCTGCCCACCAGCTGGGTGCCCACAAGGAAACCACCTAAGCCAAGGACCCGTCAGAAAGCTCTGCTCAACCCCACGGCCGGTTCAACTCACCTAGTGCAGCAGGGGGGGCCCCGAGGGGGCTGCCCTGTGCAGCCCCGTTGGTGTGCTGCGAGTTCCAGAGGCCCGAGAGCTTGTGAGCAGACAAGAAAGAGCTGGGGTCCCAGTCCCCTGAGTTCCCGTGGCACGAGGAGGAAGAGGAGGAGGAGGAGGAGGAAGAAGAGGAGTGGGAGCCACCCCCACAAGACTGTGACTTGCAGGATGTGTGGGATAACGAGACCTGGCAAGGAAAACACAGAGTGAAGCAGCAGTGGGCTGGGAGGGGAGGCCCTTGGCCCCAGGGCATCGGCACCAAGGACACCCCCCCCCCCCCACTGCCCTGAGGCAGGGGCTCAGCACACGGGAGGCACTCCTGTCACTGTCTCGGGGGTGGCAAGCAGCCCGTCCGTCCAACAGCAACACAGCTCCCAGGGCCACACCAGCATGGCCAGACTGTGCAAAGGGCCACACGCCTGCTCTGGTCACGCTCAAACCAGGCCAGGGTTAAATAAAGCCAAGCAGGAGGGAGCTTCTCTTCCCCTGAGCTCCACGCACAAGCAGGCACTTGCCCTGGCACATGCTGCCGCTCCGGGGAGACCTGGCATAATGGCAGGGACCAGCCTTGGGGCTGAGGGGGACGTGGCACAACACACAGTGGAGTGGGGCTGGCAGAGAAGCAGCGGCACTGCCGGCCTCACCAGGCGGGCAGCTCCAACCCAACACAGGCTGCCAGACAAGCCTCCACGGCACCGCGCTCTGCCCCACCATGGTCTCTCCCTGAGGAGCTAGCAGCAGCCCTGAGGAGAGCAGCACAGCTGCAGGGAGCAGCGAGGCTGGGATGTCTGAGGCACTCAGCTCTGAGCAAGGAGAGGACCTGCACACCCAGCCAGCACCACAGGGTGGTCAATGCCACGGCCCTGGAAGCTACAGCCCCGGCCTTTCCAACCCCAGCTCCGTAACTGCTTACCGCCAGGGCCTGCTCCTGTACCGCCCGCCGCTCTTCTTCCTCCACGCTCTTCCGACAGCTCTGGCAGATCCACAGTGGCATTTCTCCCAGGAGGTTCTGCACGAGCGTTGGCACAAAGTCTGGTGGCAGCCTCTCACCCGGGGAAACCAGCCCATTGTGGGACGGCCCTCCCCAGTCCTTGCGCTCCCGGTGACAGAGCAAGCAGCACGTCTGCACTGACTGGTTGGCAGTGGGCAGCACCTGCAGAAGGACACACAGACCACGAGTCACCCCAGGTGTGAGCCACCACATGGCAGGGCCCCAGGTCGGCGCAGGTGTGGGGCAGATGAGGCAGAAAACGAGGCCTCAGGACACTGACACCAAACCAGAGAATTTCTTGTAAGCTATGTGTGGGACTGCACCTTCTCCCACTGGAGGAGAGCAGCCTCGGGCTGCCCAGCTGCTGCCAGCCTGCCATGTGGCAGCCGGGAGCGTTTTGAACCCTTGGGAAGATCACGCCGTGCGAAAGAGCCAGCCCCACCAGCGCACCAGGCTGGGAGGCCACCAGCAGCTCCCACTTGCACCTCCAGTACACTGGGACTGAGGGGACTCACAGGGCAAAGCAAGGCCCACAGAAATCACCACACAGGGATATGAAGGGGGGTCTGGCAGCCACAAGCCCCCTCCTCGTCCACCACAGACCCCCCTACTGCATTACCCAAGAGCCCCGGGCCCTCCCACCCGCCTCTTTGTTCTGCGCAGCCGGCAGCGCAGATGCGCCGGGGTGGGGTGCAGCCCCCGGCACTGCTTTGCGCTCTCCCCGCACGGGGCGGCCAGGCTGGGGCTTCCCACCCAGCGCTGCAGCAGGAGCCGGGCTGCAGCCCGCAGTCTCGCCGGAGGCCTGACAGCCGTGACGAGCCCAGCGCAGCGCGGGCGAGGGGGCCCCCATTGTCTGCCACCGCGACGGGGCCCCACGACAATGAGCCGCACATTGAACTACTGCTGTGAAACAGATGGCGTCTCCCAGGCTCAAGGTGAAGCAAAGGTCAGAGGCCAAGGAGAGCAGAGGGGGGGGGGCACAGCTCCCCTGCCCACCCGCCTGGCCATGGGGAGGAGGGGACTCCTGGGCCACCCTGTCTCAGCAGGGGCAGACGCAGCCACCGTCGCACACAGCAGGCGAGAGGACGGCTCTCCCCAACCCATCCAGCGCATCTGGACCCAGGGCCCACCCCCGGGCTTCCTGCCCGCGACCCGGAGCGGGCAGCAGCAGCCAGGCGCATCGAAGGATGTCAGGCAGCGAGAGGCGCAGGAGCCGGCCCACAGCCTGTTCGGCAGATGCTCGAGCCACCTGCCATCGCCCCATGGCAGGGCTGGACCCTCCCGCAAGAAGGAGCTCTGGGAACACCCCCTGAAGCACACCACGCCACCTGGGCGAGCACGCCTGTCCCCGAGCCCGGGGCTCTGCCCTCCAGAGCACACATGGGTCTCCTGAGCAGACCTGCAAGATCTCCCTGCACACAGGGATGGAGTAAGGGGTGCACAGACCCTGGGGCTGGCAGAGCCCTTTGCTCTCTTGCTGCTGAGTGCTGCTGGTCATGCCAGGGGGAGTAGCATGCAATGGTGGGGTACAGGCTCACTGGCTGATTCACCCTCCCTAGCAAAGGCGGAGATCAGCTTTCCCTAACTGCTGGGAGAGATGAACCCCCAGGATGCTACACACCAGTGGGAGCCCCCAACACCCCAGCCATCTGCCAGAGGCATCCCAAAGTCCCGCTGCAGCTCAACACATCCGCAACCCAAGGCCACAAGCTGGCTCCACCACCCAGCCCAGCAAAGCCAAGGGCAGGCCCTGCTCCACGCACCGATCCCAACCCCCCGTGTGCCCCACCCAGGATGCCGTAAAAAGTGGCTCCCGCATCCCAAGGCAGCCAAGCTCCCCAGAGAAGGGCTTGGGCTTCACCTGCCACCTTCCCCGCTCACCTCAGCGTGGGCACCCCCACACACACACCAAGGTGCACCCCAGCAGCGTGGCTCCACCGGGGCACCCCCACCACCACCCCCGAAGGCGCAGCGGACCCTCCAAAACCGGGAAGAGGGAGATGGGGGGACACCAGGGACTCAAAGGGGGGGTGTGCCCCAGGGATGCTCCGAGGACGGGGTCGGTGCGGAGATGCCCCATCCCCGCACTGACCGAAATCCCCTCAGAGACAGCCCCTTCCCCGCCGCAGGGCCTAACCCGGTACCTGAGCGGTGGCTCTGCC